CTCCATACTCTTTAAGACCCTTCCTTTTCCTTCTTCAACTGGTTCTTTCCTCAAAAGCTGGGCTTTAAAAAAAAATTTGGGTATAGTTTGTATACAATAAAACATACAAATCTTAAAGTTACCATATACCACATGTGTTACTACTGCCCAAGTGAAGATAGAGAACATTTCCATCACTCCAGAAACTTCCCTTCCAGTCAACCTCCCCCAGCTCTTAGAAGCAACCACTGATGTGATTTCTATCACTCTGGATTCATCTGGTCCTACTGAATGTACTCCTTTGAAACTGGCTTCTTTCACTCAGCACAGTGTCTCTGTGATTCATCCCTGCTGTTGTGTGTATCAGTAGTTTGTTCCTTTTTTATTACTGAGTCATATTCTGTAGAGATAGACCACAGTTTGTTTATCAGTTATCCTGCTGCTAGACATTGAGATTGTTTCTAGTTTTTGATAATTATGAATAAAGCTGCTATGAACATTCTTGGAGTTATCTTTTGGTGAACATAATGCACTCATTCCTCCTTGTTATGTATCTAGGAGTGAAATTGCTGGGTCGTACAGTCCTCTGGCCAACAGGACCTGTGGCAGGGAGAGTTTCAGGCCAGCTCCGCATTCCTGCCCCAGGCTCCTCTCTTTGTTGGTCTTAGCCTACCTCTTCTGCCTATAGCTTCCAACCCTCCGTATTGAAGGATTCTCTCTGACAGAACTGGAAGGACACCAGATGAGGAGCCAAGAGAACTGGATCCTAGTGCCAACTTTACCTATAAGTGGCTACAGAAGAAAATCCCTTCACTTCTCTGACCCTGTTTCCTCATGTATTAAAATGTCTATGCAGATATTAGGAAGATAGTGATACTGGCCCAGAAAAATACACATAGGAAAATGTATGAGAATATATTATACAATTGCAATGTGTGATAATTACTAATCTACATAGTTATGGGCCTCCAGCCCTCCTGCCCCTCACTGGGTATATAACCAGCCATTAATCCCAAACTCTGTTCCCTTAAGTCTCAGCCTTAGCTCAGATTTAGCCCAAATTTGGCCTATCAATGCCTTCCTCATTCCTTTCTAAAGACCACTCAGACTGTTTACCTGTGTCATCCTAAGTCACCTATACTTGCTGGACTAAAGAATGCTGTTAACATGGCTGTCATTGTCGCCCATAATATTCTCTACTCAACCTTATCCATTCGCCATGGTTGGGCCTGAGTATGGGTTTCCTGAAGACTCCATGATCACTCTTGTCCAGATCCTAGACAATGCCAAGTGCATGTCCAGTGGGACAGAGAGATGTGCCATCATGATCTTCAGTAGTCTCAGGTGGCACTCAGCCTGCCTGGCTGCAGTCCAGACTCCACACCTCAGCCAGCTTCTAGATGATAGCCCTAGGCATGTATGCATATGACCCAGCTGCTGTCTAACCTGGCCAGATTCCAGAAAGCGACCGTCGCTAGGGAAAAAGTCCAGGACTTACAGGGAAGATAAATGTTTCTTCAGCCAGACCCTTCATCAGAACCTTAACAGGCTCCAACCTTCCTTGGACTTTGAGACCAAGTTTTCTTGGGAAGTGAACTGAGAGGCAGGATCAGGCAGCTGGCAGGTGATATGCCTCAGTATTGAGAAAACGAGGTCACGAACTGCACGATTTGGTGTAGGGGAAGGTCAGAATCTCAAAAACATGTAAACAAGGGAGGCCACAAAAATGTCTCAGAGAAAGAGGACTAAGGAAGGATGACTCAGAAAGGATGACTCAGACAAAACTCACAGAAACTTTTATATTGATAGTGTAAAAGAAAGAAAAACTTCTCTACCTCAGGGCACAGATATAGGTCTCAGGCTCCAGGACAAAGCCAACCCAAGCCTTGCCTCATAGGCATAGCAAAGGGGATGAGGATGGAGCAGTGATGGAGAAGGAACCAGGGATTCGATGGAGATGGAGAAGATGAAGATGACATTGGATGGAAGGGCTTCAGAGTCAGGTGGGAAGGGAGTGGACGAAGATGCAGAGGTACTGAGGCTGAGCTCTGTAGGAAAGAAATGAAGTCTAGCTCTTTGCCTTTTTCTTCTAACTTTCCAGACCCAGCGTGTGCACCAATTGAGAGGGGAAAAGTTGACAATACGTGCCAAGAACTTTTAAGTAAGAGGAGCCAATTCAGCATAGTAGTTAAGAGTGAGGGCTCTTGAGAAGGGGTATAACTCAGGGGCAGACTGTGTGTTTAGCGTGAATGAGATCCTGGTTCAATCCCCAGTACCTCCATTAAGAAAAAAAAAGAGTGAGGGCTCTTGAGTTAAATTGGGTTTCACGTGAGTCAATTTGGTCACCAGCTGGATAACACTGAGCAAACAAAAGAAACTCTCGGTGCCTCATTTTTCCCCTTCATAAAAGGGGGTTAATGTGAGTATCTGCTTCATAAAGTTTGGGAAGATCCAAGGATATAATTCAATTCAATTCAACAAATATGTACTAAGTGTCTATTAGGTCCAAGGCCCAGGCCCAGCTCCCATGGAACTTAGATGTTAGTGGGAGCGAACAGATAAGAAACAAGTGAAAAAAGAATAGGAAGATACAATTCCAGATCATGATAAAGAGCTCTGAAAATAATAAAACAAGAATCTGACAGTGAGTCACTAAAGGGGACACTTTTGGTAAGATGATCAAGGGAAGGCCCTGAGAAGGTGACTGTAAGATTTTAACAACTGATGCACGCAGAGCTTGCTGTGTGCCCAGTGCTATTGTGAGTGCTTTAGATGGATTAACTCACATAGTCTTTAGAACAACCTATGAGGTAGATGCTACCATTCTCCCATTTTAGTGATAAGGAAGCTGAAGTACAAAGAAGAAAAACTTGCCCGATATTGCCCAGATGGTGAAGGGTTTAGGTTTGAGCCCAGGTTTTAACCAGAGACCATGCCCTTAACTACCACTTTATCTTGCCTCTCAAAAGCAGGCTGCAAGTGGTCAGGCAAAGATAGTGTATAGAGAGAATTTGTGCCTGGCACTTGGTCATATTATTGTTGTTGCCGTCATTGTGATTATTGTTATGAAGAGAAGTTGAGGCTCCAGAAGGCAAAGCTCCATATTCTGAGGAGTCTGGAGTGTTTGGGGCTTGAGTGATACTAAGTGACTTGTTCTGTTCCAGATCCTGTACTGACTGCTTCATTTCCTTATCTCTCCAGAAAGGGGCAGGTGGAGGCCTGCCCTGCTCTCTAGGAACACCAGGCCCCCAGATCAGCTGGAAGTCACTCCATCCTGACCTTGCCTGGAATGTGCAAGGAGAGCTGACCATCACCCCTCCCGGTCTCCAGGAAGTTGTAAAGGGCTCAGGAATCGCTCCAGCTGACTTCACAGGAATAATTTTCCTCCCCGGGGGAAGACCTCAGATAAACTGTAACATGAAGGTACTCCCTTTTCTGAGAGGAGAGGCTGGCAATAAAATTGTAGGAGCTTCTGCCTGAAATGCACTGGATGCTGGATAAGGACCTGGGTTTTTTTCTAGCCCTACTACTAAAATCACTGCGTGACCTCAGGGAAATCACCTGGGTTCTCTGGGCCTCAATTTCCTCACCAAGAAAATAAAAGGATTAGGCTAAGACCCTTTCCAGACCTAAAATTTCACTCTGTATTCTTCTTCCCAAATGAATGGAAGCCTTATATTAGGAAAATAGCTTCGTTGGCCTCCCATCTAAGGTTCAATTGGCTAGGGGAAGGAAACTAACTTTTAAAGGTTTGTACATGTTTTAGATCCTATAACATATTTACATAAATTAATGTAATCTTTAACCTTTAATCTTCGGAATAACTCTTTGGAGAAGGTAGTGCTGCTTTCATTTTACAGAGAAGACACCTGAGGCTCAATGAACAAATTGCCCACAAATATCCAGGAAGTAACAGGCAAAATCAGGATTTAAATCCAGGTCCCACGAAATCTCAGAATCTCTTCTCTTTCCACCCTGGTGCCTCTGTCTGATATGGCTACCTTCTCAGTGTCAGTGAAGGATTGTGAAGGATTATCACTTTAGCACATCACTTTATGGGAGACAAGAGTCTCACCTGGTCTGGGTTCAGGAGAGGTCGACACCTTTGGAAGGCACTGGCTTTGGGGGATGGGCTGCAGTGGCCCCTAGATGGGGAGGGGAGGCAGTTAGAGCTGGGTTTTCTGGAGACTGGAAAGCCATTATCTGCAGTGGCTGAAGAAGGGGGTTGGCAAACTAATGGGATTCCCTCCTGAATCAGGCCCAGGATTTCCCTAATACGCTCTCATTTAATTCTCTTAGCAACCCTTTGAGGTAGCCATAATCATCTGGGTGTTCAACAGGAAGAGAATAATTCAGTAAACTACACAACCAAATGGAATATGACCTGAAAGATTAACTGAGGTCATGTCTAACAGCATGAGGTCTAATTAAATGGTATATTAGATACAATATTGTAAGAACTACTAGGGGAGTAAATAGGAAGGTTTGACAGGGGTTTTTAGGCAGCTGTATAATACCAAAGGCTGAGTGAGGCTGAGGAGGAAACACCTAAATCCACATTTCTCTAAAGCAAGATTAAAATATAACTTGTTTCATAGAAATTAATAGTAGGAATAATAATATTCCATTAAAGCTTTTTAAGGTAAAAACCAGTTTTAAAAATTCGAAAGATCAGGTAATGTTCTCTTTGACCTAATTTAAGAGGACCCAGGAAACACAAAGTGTGGTACAGAACCCACATGGGAAAAGAAGCAAAAGAAGTAAGTAACCAGGCACGTCCAAGGGATGATGAAAGCACAGACACCATAATCAGAGGCATGAATGAGTACTAGCTGAATTCTTCTGAAAACAGAAAGGCCCTTGACTTGATTCAAAAACAGAGCTCAGTGTCATGGAGTCCACAAAACACGGCTAAGACCAAAAGATGCAGGCATGCAGGAAGCAAAGGGAGGCCTGCCAAAGACTGCCCAGCGTGGGGGTTGCTCTGCTGGTCATCAGATAAAGACAATTACTTTAAAAGACCAAGAGATAGTGCAAGGCTGCAGCCCCAGGGCTAAAGCAGGCAAACAGCTCCCTTTCCAGAACCAGTGGTTCCTCCCCATAGTCCTGAGTCCTCACAAGGGACCCGTGGGCCCATGGGGTAACAGGTCACCCTGCCCAGGCTGCCCTGGGGTCTGCCAGGGGTTGGAGATAGGGTGTAATTGAGAGTGGGTGACTCCTAGGAACTGGCTACAGAGGAGGAATTTCTGGGAATAGAGCCTGTCCTCTGCCTTGGAGCCCGTCCCACCACTTCTGCCCCTCTGAACAGGAGTCTGAGAGCTACAGTGAGTTATGATATCCTTATTCATTTTCTTAAATTACACAAGTCATATATGATCATGGTAAAATTTTTCTTTTCAATCAATAGAGGAATTTATACAGTAAAAAACTGAATTCCTACTATTCCCCTCTCCTCAAACAGCGCAAAACCCACAAATCCTCTCTTCCAGAGTTAACTACTGTTAACAGTGGTGTCTATCCTTCTAGACATTGTCCCCCACACATATGCAAACATATGTATGTATGTGAGGGAGGCGGGAAGGGCAAATTATTTAATCTCTGCACCTAAATTTTCTCAGCTTTATAATGGGGGAATACTATACTAATCCCATAGGATTATATTGTGAAGGCGAAATGAGTTAAAATATCTAGCATTCTCAGAATAGTGTCTGGCCCATCATAAGCACTCAGGGGTTAGCGGTTGTTGTTGTTCCTGCATTCTTTTTCACAGCAGCTCAGTATACAGAACGATAGTCAGAGAGGTTTTTATTGACCCTCTCACAGATGCCCAAGGGCACATGTAAATTAAATGGCTCATCTAAAATTAGTGAGGCTGGGCTCAGAGCCCAGGATTCTGCCTCTGGTCCAGAGTTGTTCTCACCATACCACAGAGTCCTCCACAAGTCCCCTTAAAACCAGAGGTCTGGAGAGGGCAGCTGGTCCCACTTCTTGCCCCTCAGTGAGATCCAGCTCAGCTGCCCCATTTTTTGGGATTCCAGGATGGGTCTCTGGGGGAGGGTGAGCCTTCCTCTTGTGGTGGTGTCCAGACATGCCCCTCCTTTTGAGGCCTGGCTTTCCGTTCTACACAGTAAATCATGCTGAGGACTCCCAGCTGCTCTGGAGTTAGCTCAGGCTGATTGGCAGAAAGGCAATGGTTCAGAGCTGAAGGTGAGATCTGGCTGCGATCTGGCTGCTTATCAGGCTACACACATTTCCAGAGCTCCCTCTATGCGTTCCAGGCACTGCACCAGCCAGTGAGGGGTACCTCCATAACATAAGTGTGAGGCATAGCCATGGCCTCTGGGAGGCCCTGTCCGACAGGGACACTCAGGGCTCCTGCGTGAAGGAGAATTAATAAAATGGCCGCACTTAGGCTAACAGATTGCTCACTTGAATGCTTGCCCTTAAAAAACAGTCAACTAATCTGATTGACCAGTTGCTACTCACAGTTCCAGGCCCATTGTTAAAACTAAAGCTATTTTACTGTTTCTGCTTTATTCCAGTAATTGAAAGCAATAATCATACTTGGTTTCTGAGTTGTTCTCCTGGGAGAAGGTCACAGAACTATAATCTTAGAAAGTAGTCTAAATGCCAAGACTATGCCTTGGGTGCTTAAGAGGTGAGACAGAGATAGAAAAAGTGCCTCTATAGAATTGGTCACCTGGAAGCATCATGATGCCACTCTAAGTCTTATGACTTAGAAACTGATTCTTTTGATTGTTTATTGTTTGAGCTATGGCTATATAATCACCCTACCACGTCCCCGAGGTGGGTTCACAGTTTTGAAGGCACTAGCCTGCTGTAAGCCCCCTTTACCCGGCAAAGTAATAAAGCTGTCTCTTTTCTTCTAAGCTCCAAGACCCTGTCTCTGAGTTTCAGTTTGGTTCGTCAGGGACAGGGGCCGATATTTCAGCAACATGGGTGCAGGGGCTCCTCTGGGTGGTCACAGGGGCAGAGCAGGGCAGGCAGGCAGGCAGCTCCTGAGCGCAGTTACCTGGTTCCTGTTTCTCCTCCCTGCCTGGCCCTCATGTCTACTTCTAGCACCATCTCCCTTGCCCTGATACTCATATAGAAGAGAGGGGGATGCCGGGTCATGGCCAGGCTGAGGCCTTTTCTGTCACCCTGGGAACTTTTCACATACCTTGAAGCACCTTTGCAGACTCCAGTCTCAGAGCTGGAAAAGTTTTGGGGATCATCCACCGTGCTCATTTACCAAATGAAGAAATAAGTTTTGGGGAAGGAGGGGCAGGGGCACAAGCACTTACTAGGCACAATTGTGGTGCCATTCACCACGCTAAGGACTACAAAATCTATTTATTCTGCCCCTATGACAACCCTGAGGTAGGTATTATCTTTCCCACTTAAAGAATGAGGAACCTGAGACTTGAGGAATTGAAGTGAGTTGCTCAAGGTCATAAGGAATGGAGTAGCCTAACACGTACCTACATCTTAGTATAGGGAGCCCAATACATCCAAACACCACATTGGCCTCTTCCTTTACCACCTATTCCAAATGCAGGAGAGCTTTTCCTCTAGTCAGGCTAATGATAAGGCACATATAGGATGATAGGAACTCTTCCTCAGCCAACCACCTCAGCAATATCTATCTTCCCCCTGGAAGTGTCACTCCTTCTGCAACCCTATTCTGGGAGAAGGCAGTATGGCTTCAGGGGACTAGTGAACAGAGCAATGGTGTTCCATTGGTGTCCAGCAAGATGCAGGAATTTTTTATGTGGTAACAGGGGAAGCCAACTCTGGAGTGCCCAGGAGAGCTCTGGCTAGAGCCTGTTTGCTCCTGTGCTGTGCTGAAAGCCCAGATGTTATTCTGCAGAACTAGCAGCCCCAGTTTCCAAAGGCCACAGCTGAGTCACTTTCTTTACCCTGCCCTGGATTACTAGTTCCTTTGCCTCTGAACTTTTTCCTCATTCATTCTCTCTAAGGTCATATGTTTTCCTCATTCTGCTTACTGATAACAGTTTTTCCAGAAGTTCCTTGGAATCATCAATCTCAGACTGTCAATGCTGGTGGTCCCACCTCATCCCGCATAATGGTGACAACGGAGATGATCCACTTCAGGGTTTTTGAAAGCACACAGCACAAATATGCAAGTGCACTTGAAAATCTATACTGTTAAGCTATATAAGGACAGCATTAAATCTATATATATGTGACAAGACATTAAAACAGCAATGTGACAATTGCATTTGAATCACTCGCTCAGAAGACAAAGTTCCTTGAGTCCTACAAAGTGTCAATCTCTTGTGGTCTGAGAATCTAAGATTTGCATCTTAATAACTACCTCAATTCAATCTATGCTACAGTGATCTGTATACTTAAGAGAGGTTAGAGCCAAAACAGAACATTCTACACACATCAACTTCACTTCCTCCTAGTGACCTATTAAAGTGAATGGTTCTCAGAGCACCCTGACATTGAGGTTTGACAGAGTGGTGAGTCCTTCAGTACAAATTCATTGATGGGGTCTGCTGCTCAATAGTAATCCAGCCACAGTTCTCCGTGAAACCAATGCCAGCCTATGCCAGCCCTTTACAGGGGCTGTTTGTGGTCATGTCCTGGCAGTAGGCCCGGATTTGAGAGGAACTAAAGAGTTTACTAATAAAAAGACTGAGGCCTGAAGAAGTTGTGACCTGTTCAAATTTAAAGAAGGTGAGGCCCAGGCTTCCAGTTTCCCAGTGGCTTCATGGCTCCGTTCTCAGCAGCCTCTGAAAGCACTCCCATTCCCCAGTGTCCTCCCACATGGCACATAGATGGGTGCAAAACTAATCTCAGATTTTCTTAGAGAGTATAAATATCAATATTTTGTTTTTTTGTCTAACCAGGTCGCTTTTAAAATGTATACACTCTTTAACCCTGTCAGTCTAAAACATAACATCAGGAAATGGTAAGTCAGAAGTACAAACATGTATGCACGAGGACAGTCATTGCAACTTTATTGTAAGCCCCCAACCCTATGGACTACCCAAATACCCAAACTACTGTGATTTTCTCTATAAATAGTAGTACATTCATACAATGGGATATGGTGATTTAAAATGATGATGTGTGACATAGTGGTAAGAGAGGCCAAGGTGGTAGAGCAGGAAGACCCTGAGTTCACCTCCCACAGGAACACCAAAATTACAACTATTACAGAGCAACCACTACTGAGAAAGACCTGAAGATTAGCAGAAAACATCCTCCATAACGAAAGATATAGAGAAGGAACCATACCAAGACAGGTAGGAGGGGTAGAGATGCGGTACAGTCAAATCTCATACCTCACAATGGGTGACCCACAAATGGGAGGATCATTACAATTGCAGATACTTTCCTCAAGGATCAAGGAGTCTGAGCCCCACATTAGACTCCCCAGCCTAGGGGTGCTGCATGGAGAAGACAAGCCTCAGAACACTTGACTTTGAAGGCAAGTGGGGTTTACTTTTAGGAAAGCCAGAGGACTGTAGGAAATAGAGACTGCACTCTCAAGGGCACACACAAAATCTCACACACTCCAAGACCCAGCGCAAAAGCAGTAATTTGAAAGAAGCCTGGGTCAGACCCATTTGCTAATCTTGGAGAGTCTCCCAGAGAGGCAGAAGGCTCCTAGGAACAGAGATGCTGGTGGCAGCCATTTGGGGGAGCTTGTTCTACCATAAAGACACCAGTGCTGGCAAGCACTATTTCGGAATCCTCCCCCCAGGCTTATTAACACTAGGACCCAGTGTTACACCCACCAGAGAACCAGGAAGGAAGAGGCAGGACTGTGCTACAAAGACTAGGATGGTCTAAGAACCAGGGATTGGGAATCCAGAAATGACTTCACGTCAGCATCTACTGTAGCCAAATGTGGAGGGCAAGAGGGAGTTGCTGGATCTGTGTCCCCTTCCTCCTTTGGGGCCCATGGGGCAGCCTCTCCATTCCACCTACCAGGGTACTTCTTCCCAGTCCTCCACTCATGCTAGGAGCGCCAGCTGGGTGAGGTCCTCAGTGTTGACTGGTGCCATACACGAGGGACAGAGCACACAGAGGCCAGTAGGGTTACCTGAGTTTGGGGAGCTTGCGGAGAATTCATATTCTTTGTTCCAGGACTGATTCACTGAATCAATATTTATTGAACACTTAGTGGAGGTGGCAGGAGAACTGAATTCCTGGGCTACGTGCAGTCCCTTCCAAACAGTGAAGAGAACATTTCAATAAGGATGCAGAGGCGAGGGAGTTCAGGCTCCAGCTCAGTAAAACTGATTCAGGCCCTCCTATCACCTGTAGGACTCACTAGCAGCTCACCCACGCCGTTTCCTCTCCCACCAAACACTCTCTCTTCCCCTGCTTAGGAAGCTGTGAAATGTCACAGTAGGTTGAGAGCTCTGGGGGGATTTGGAAATGGAAAGTGTTCCCTGAACTACTGTTTTCAATCAGCCTGTTTCACTCTTGGTATTTGCCCCCATAGAGACATCGTGAAGCCCATTTAATAGACCAGGAAATGGAAGTGCCAAGATCCAGTCCAATCACTACTATAAAATAAGTGACTCATGTCTTTGTCCTTGGTAGTCCTACTTTTCCAGGAATTCCCACTGCAGCTCCTAATTCCTTTTCAGTTTCAGTGGCTTCTTCTTGCCACCAAACCACAACTAGAGGAAGAGCTACTACTTGTGGATTTAACAGTGAGGCCCACCTCTTTTAGGGGCATTTCTATTGGAAGACTTCCATCTGGAAAGAGAAGAAGGCTTTCTCATTCTACACTCAAGGAACTTCGGGCATCACTGAGCTGGAAAGAGAGAGCTTCAAGAGAAGGCAGCTGGCAAGTCTGGCCCTAGCTAAACAGGACTCAAAGAAGGAAGCACAGTGGGCAGTGAGGCTCCTGAGTGTGTGCATATGTTGTGCATAGACAGAAATCTCAAGATCCCACCCTCTTCCAGAGACAACATGAAAAAAGGAAAGCAATGTTTGATCTTGAGGAAATTAGTTGATTTCTCTACTTCCTTAGTTGTAAAATAATCATGTACTTGGCTTGCTGTGAGAACTAGAGATCATTAATGTAAAATTTCCAGTCAATGGAAATTGTATTTGATGCAGAAAATGCATTACTCTCAAAAATCTCAGATACTTCCCTTTGTGAAATGGGTAATCTAAGTTGATTCCTCCCTAAATAGAGCCACAAATGGTGGCAGCAGTCAAGAAATATAAGCCGAATTTATTACCCAAACCAATTTGAGGAATCCCAGGCACTGGTCATGACATTCCCTAGTCACACGAAAATCAGAACCTATTCAAACTCACCCTCTACCCTCAGCTGAAGTGAGGGATTAAAGGCTGCAGCCCAAATTATGTCACAGCTACCATATCCTCATTCTTGACTCAATCTCAAAGTCATAAATGGCATGATGTGATTTGGATCCAAATTTTACCCAGGAAAACACCATGATTAAAATAGACAAGGTTGGAGCTATCATTCAAACAGACAAAAAGTACAGAGAACCTTAAGTGGCTCTGAGAAGGGGAAAGGTTTTCTCTTTATAATGGCCAGAATTAAATGAATTGTCTAGTAATCATCAGTGAGCTTGAGCCTGGAAAGAGATGCTGATCCTGTGGGGAGAGAAAGACAGGTGCACTGACCAAACCCTCCTACGCTAGTCAGAGGTGCAATTTAAGGTCTCCCATGAGGACCCCTGTGGCTGTCCTTAGGTAGGTGCTTCCTGGTTACCTAGTGGCAAAGAAGCCTGCACTGGCTACCTCTGAATGAGCAGAAGGGTTGGAGGAGTGATGAGAAGGTGATTTTTTTACCTTGTGAGGTAAGTTACACAGAATTCTCAAAAGTTGAAGAAGAGACAATTCTTCAAGCAGTGCTGAGAAGATCCTTGACTATTTACACACTTGAGGAATGCAAGTGGGTTTGACCTCATATGAGATATTGGTTTTATTTGTTTGATTGGTTTTAAAATCATCCTAGACTTAGGAAGGTGAGTCCCTTTAATCATCAAACCAAAGAGCACTTATGTCTAGAAACACCGTGCTTTAAAGTCAAACTACTGACAACCCCTCATCACTGACACTGACCTGCAGACTTTTGTGAAAATCAGCTTCTAGGTCAGTTAAATCTTGATAAAGTTTTAAGTCGTCTCTTCATAACTCAGCCCTCATCCCCCACCTGGCCACAGTCACAGTGGAACCAGGAACCCAGTGGGCAAGTTTCTTTCCTTATTCAACTCAGGTACTCCAGGAAGAAGAAGTTCCTGGCACCTGCCTGCCAAGCTCTGCTCTACTCGTTGAACTTTGATCAGCAGGAACAGGTCATTCTGGCTACATGTTCCCCCAAACTCTCCCTACTTGTATTTTTAAGGCACACCAACTCCTCTGTGTAAGGCTCTCTGTTTATAATGAATTATTTTAATTATTCTTACTACTCAAAAGAAACTTCTGCGTCAAAACCCATGACTGCCCAGCCAACCATTCAGCCCCAAGACGCTGAGAGTGGGGACAAGGGCAGAGCCCAATTCACATCATGGATTCTGGTCGTTGGGGTCACACTTGAGCATGACTTTCAACCCCAATCCCTTTTTGGATGTTTCGAAAGCCTCCAAAGCTTTCTCCAGAGGAAATCGATGGGTGACCAAGGGCTTTACATTCACCGACTTGGATGCAAGCATTGAAATGGCTATTGGCCACCTGGAAAAGATCACAAGTATTACATTCAACCTTCAGGAGGAAAGAGTCAGGGCCCCAAAACTACCCAGTACAAGATCAGCTTGGCTTCATTTATTTGTAGCTGTGTGGTTCCCCAAGTTCAATTCTACAGGCCAACAATGGTACAAATGATCTTATGATTATGACTTATTATTCAGGAGAACAGAGCCTGTTCCCAAAGGCCCATCCCCACCCTTCTCTGCAATGTCTGCCATGAAGCCTAGAATTCCTTTGGCATGAAGGTATAAGTGTATGATGGCCACTGTGAAAAGGCAGTTAAGGCTCAGGGAGGCATCCCAGGATGATCCAAACACTCCCTTAAGCAGCTCGGCTTAGCAGAATTTATTGGAAAACCAGCACTCTGCTGAAGGAATGGTTACCGACTCTAAAGATGGGCACAAGGGCTAATGGTGGGGAAAGTAGTCTTGGACAGAGTTCCCCAGCAAGGGAGAGGATGGAGCCACAGAACACATGGTGGGGGTTATTGAGGCCTTCTCATTTCCCAGGTGGGGCTCTGTCTGGAGTGGGAACCAAAGGACTTGAGTTCTTATGGCTGTCCTCATTTCTCTCCTTCCCTTTAAAGAGGGAAAATGGAGATCTGGCCACTTAAGGAAATGGAAAAGAGAGGGCCTGGGTGATGAATGGCAGACACCCAAGAAGAGCATACTTCAGAAATCCCCCTCACTTCTTCTCTCCGCCCTGCCTCCTGCCAGCTCTGCCCCCACACCACTTCTTTAACCAGGATAGAGTGCTCTCTCTTTGGACCCTTATCATATCGTATGGCTGTCAGTGTGGTCAGGGAGTGCCCCTCATGAATAAATAGGCAGAGACTCTTGGTCCCAGAGGCCAAGCGGGGCCTGCTCGCCACCCTGGCTCACCCACAACATACTTACGTGTTGCAGTATCGAAACACGCCCTTGATATCCACCTCTCTGGTGGCTGCGTGCACTAGGGGCACACTGGTCATCTCAGAGCCCAGACCCACAAGCACCAGGGTCCCTCCAGAACGAGTGGACTGAAGGAGAGGTAAGAATAAGAAAACCCAGAAGATGAGAAAACGCAGTCCCCACTTACAGAACACTATCACCATACAAACATCTTCTGATTGCATCAGGTAAGTATCCAAAAATTTGAGAGAATATGATTCTTTCTATATTGCTAAACTCTTCAACATGTCAACCAAAGTCAACAGAGCAGCAGAACAAATACCATCTTCTTTCAAGATCTTGAAATAATACACTCTGCCAAAGGAGGCACAATGGGAGCATCTTCTGCTGTCCGCAACATCCCAGGAAACAGCCAAGGTTCTCCAGACAGCAGTAAGATTCTCCCCTACAATCAGTGCTGACCCCTCAGCAGCCTCTGAACATCCTTTAAAGCTTTACTAATTCAGTACCACATGCTACCACTTCATCTCAGCACATGTTCCTCCTCCAGAGTTCCCACCCCACAAGACAGGAGTTTTCTCAAACCTCTAAGGAAGCACCCTCTTGGTGAGAAAACTATCAAGCACTACACCAATGGGGAGAGCTACTGGAATTCTGTGGTTTCAAAACTGTCTTACACATGCTGGCTAGTATTAAAAGGTATTTTTGCTCCAGAGACATTCATCCTAATGGTGTAAGTCATAATGGATTTATCAGTTTCCTCCTTGGAATGGGCCAGAGAGCAAAATTTCTCCTGACAATCTCCACATAACTCTACATGAGTACTAGGCTCGCTCCAGAGAGTTTGGGGGATCACTGTGCTCGATGTTGTGAGAAAAATTGACAATTCACTCACACTGAGTTTTCACTATAGTCAACAGCAGCAAGCACTTATTGGGACCACTGGGCTAAACAATGGAGCTTAACATAGCGCACATCATAGCCTCTGTCTCCAAGGGGAAGAATACACCCTTGGAGAGAGGCCTGCAGCATAGGGGTGACTCAGCATTTACACTTTTGAGTTATGGGACTCCAGATGGTGCTCTCTCAGCCACATTCCTCATGTATGAGAACGAATGGTGCCCCTCCAGCAGGGCTGTTGGGAGTAACATAGTGGTTGGGCTCAACGTGGCATGTTTTCTGTTTTTATTGAAGCGCAATCACATGCAAACCACCTGTGACATACAACATTGTCAGTAAGGGGGAGGGTATCTCACAACTGAAAAATGTTGCTGTCTCCACTGGAAAAGTGGGAGGAGGAGTTAGAATTGTGAGTGAGCCACAGAATACACTGAAATTTTCCAGGAAAACTGCTGCCCACTCAGCATTTCCTCTCCACTTGGTACGGAGGAAGAGGAACACCACCAAACTGGCTATCCTAAGCTGCCAAGAGGCCAGTAGCTTACTGACCACAGGCAAAGGAATGCTCGGACCATTGTTTTGTGGGTGTGACTTCCACATCAAGGAGATGACATCAGTTCTACCTTAACCATTTGCTGCGTCTCCTCATGAACATTATCTAGACACGACATGGCAAAAAAGTGACTCTGAGGTATGTTCAAAGGTGCTTCGGCCTAACCTGCCCATTGGCAGAGTGACCGGTAGCATTCTACAGCACCTGTCATGTATGACTGCTCCACTCCCCATTCAGGACAAGCACTGGCTTCAGGCCTGGTGAGGCCCTGAGTCACATTTACCTCCACACCCACCTCAGGTAGCCTGGCAACTGGGCCCCCGCCATCAACAGGTAGAAATATCAACTCTTCTCAGATGCCCTCTGAATAGGGCACAAGAGGAAGAAAGGCCTCGCATTGTGAAGCCTTACTGCCTTTCTATTGAGCGGGGGTCACTGATTTGCCAACAACTTGAAGAGAGCAGACACATTTTACTGGTTAAGCCTTCAAGGTGTCCGGCACAAAGCCAGGCACACAGCAGGAACCCAAGACCTGCCATGGGTTGACGTGGGTCGACAGATCACACACAGACCCATCGCCTGTGGGTTTTGGTTTCTCTTTGCCCCTTCCCACATGGGTGACAACTGCCTCTGACAGTGGAGCACAGAGCTGGCTGCCTCTAGCTGGAACTAGATGGGGCAAGGGTGGCACCTGCTCCACCCTCCTCCTCCTGCCACTTCCTTGGCGCCTGGTGCCACAAGCATCTTGGTAGGAGGAGGGCAAGGTAGGTCTGCCAGAGCCAGGCCTGAGGGCCGTGCCACACAGCTCAGCTTTTCCCAGAATATCTTGCAGAGTGGAAAGCGCTCTTGTGCATGACTCAGTGTGACTCAGAAGGAAGGAAGAAGCACATGCTTCTGTGGGAAAGCTGTGCGGGAGACAGGGCAGGAGTGCCCAGCGATGGCAGCTGCTAAGGCTCTCCCTAGCCCAGCCCTTCCCACCCTAGCACTGGCTCCTTATCCCCTCTATCCTTTCCTCTCTGGGTAGCTGGATGGAGGAGGGAGAGCCCAGGAGTGGAGCAGTGTGCTTAAGGCAAGTCACTGGGCCTCTCTCATCATAAAATGTGGAAAGTAAGAACTCATTTTAGGGGCTATTATGCAGAATAGGTATCATGTTTATGAAGCACCCAGCAGAGGACTGGGCCCATGGTAGAGCTTGGAACCTAGAAGTTATTCTTTTTTCCTTCTTTTCCTTATACTTTGTCAATGCTATTCCTCCCTGCCACTCCCCTCCAACATCCCATAAATTACTGGCAGGTTGCTGACGGGAAGATCAGATATTGGCAGCTCATCTGCTGCTAGTTCTGGGAAAGGGCAGTAGGAATCAACTGTGACCCCCTCCACCTCACCTTTGTGACTAACTGAATTAATGGCTGTCACTTTGTATCAATGACTCAAAGACTTCAGTTTTCCTCCATAAAACAAGGTGGGGATTTCCCACAGTCAGCTAAGGCATGTTCCCTGTTTCTCCTGTTGACAATTTTTACCAAAAGCACTAGTTCTATGATCACAGATGCAATAATGACAGCAACCCCAACCTAAAGGTGTGGGTCACTTAACACTTTTCAAGGTCCATGTGTATCTGTTACCTACTTTGAACCTCAGAAGGCCCCAATGAGGATGTCTCACAAGTGTCACTTATCTCCACAAGACAGGTAAGGAAACAGAGATATCAAGGGATTCTCTACTTTTGCTTGGGGGTGGGGGAGGACACAGAGCAAAGCAAATCAGTGGAGAAGCTTAAACCTAGTACTCCTTACTTCTGTTTGGCTCACTGCCCTGTGCTGATTCCCCGAAGCTGCCCCTCAGCTTCTGCTACCGTCATCCCACTCACATAGATGCCAGCCTGGATGGAGGCCTCCACCCCTGTGCACTCGATGGTGGCATCTGGCTTGCACCCCAGTAGGCCTTCCACTTTACTGGCAATTTCCTGAGGGCTCTCCTTGGAGATCTGGAGGACGAAATCAGCCCCAACTTCCTTGGCTTTCAACAACCGAGACTCTGACAGATCTAAAGTTAAAACAAAAGTTTCTTTCAAACTGAGAAACTGGATGGTGGATTAGGGAGAAAAAAATGGAGGCACAGGTTCTGATGGCAATGAAGCTCTGGTGTAGTGGTGGTGTCACTGAGCCCAACACACACACACTGCACCTTCACATACTCCCACACATCCATGCCCTCCTACATCCCCACACACCACACAGCTCTACACAGCTACACACATACACACTCTCTTTCTTATATCTTTTCCTCATACAAGACACACACTGATACATCCCCACTCCCCTCATATATCCACAACACCCTGCACACCACACAACCCTACGTGCTCACCCACACACAGATAACCTCTTCTCACACACACGCACACTTTCACAAATACCTTACATGCACACACACACATTATCTCACAGATGCCCCCTCCTCATACACACATACCCTTCTATACATACTATACCACTTCACACACATACCCACACGTGTCACAGGTAACCTCTCCTCACACATGCACATTCATATCTCTCACCCACACCACACACCTCACAATCACTCTCAGCCTCCTCTTAGGACCAGGTGGGTAGTTTGGGCATCTGAGGTCCACACTAAAGAGCCAAGTCCTCTTCACAGCAGCCACCCTCTCCCAGCAGCTTCAAAAAAGGGTCTCCTCCTGAATCCTGACTTGGGCATCCCCTGCGTGGGCTTTTCAATCCTGGAACCCAGGAGAAAAGAACAGGAGCATCTTTAGAAGAAACCCAGTAGGAAAGGAATAGGCCTGTCCTTGTCCCAAACTGTAGGCTCAGCTGCTTCCCCTTCAAGGAGATATGAAAAGAAAAAAACTTACCAGTCACCACGACTTGAGCTGCACCCATTGCTTTGGCCACGAGCAAACTGACCAATCCTATTGGCCCTAAATAAACCAGAAAATGGGAGACATCTGTGAAATATTAAACACCAGCTCTCCCCCTTGTCTAGGACACAGACAGAAACCTTACCTTTTGTGTACCTCTAGCATCTATCCCAATGCCTGACACATAGTGAGACTTTAACAACTGTTAGTTGAATGCATGAGCAAATGAATGCATGAGGAATTGTCCTCTATGTGGAATCTGCTCCTAGTGCTATGTTCTGTTTGATTCTCTCATACTTCAGAGCTAGAAAATTTCCACTTATTCTTGGGTGCTGCTTGGAGATAATGTCAAAGAACCAGAGAGGGCTCAAGAATACACTTTTGCTCAGAGGATAAGAAGTCCCAAAAGGTCTGGATACATTTTTCCTATTCTGTCTTTGACCTCTATACCTTCTTAGCACCCGTCATACCTCCCAAAGGAGAGCCATATCCTTTAAGGTGCCCTTTTGAGGACCACCGTGGAGGGTGTCCTAGGTTGACCCAGCTGTTCAGGCAGCCCCAGGATGTTCATGTTCATGTGTCTAAGAATCAGCCCAAAGACCACCTGCTTCCTGACAGCATCAGCATGCTAGATGACACAATGGTTTTAACACAAAAACCAGACCACGAATGAGGCTATGTAGAATATCTTTGAAGATTTGCTTTTTGGACACTCCCTGTGAAAATAATTTAGTGAGTCACCCAGAAAGCAAAACACTGGGAAATACCTGAAGTGAACAACAATGGGGTGATTAGTTAGATAAAACTATGGTGGGATACTACACAGTTATTAAAAATTATGTCAGAATGCTTATCTATTGACATGGAAAAATGTCCACAACATATTAATTTTAAAAAAAAGTAAAATGAAACATATTCAGCATGATCTCATGAATAAAACAAAAATAAAATTGAAAGATTCTACACCAAAACGTTAACAGTAGTTCTCTCAGGCTGATGGGTGATGGGGCTATTGGTGAATTTGTGTGTGTGTGTACATGTGTGTGCATGTGCCCACATGTTGTACATATAACCACTTTCTCCACAGTAAAAATGTATTAGTTATGCAGATTAAAAAAAAATCCGTCACCTGAATCCTACAGTCTGCTGGCTCACTGAGGCAAGTCTGTCTACACCCATCACCCCTTTTAGGAAGCCCTGTGGTCATTTATTTGGCCCTGCCAAAGAAAATCAGTCACAAAGTATATGAGGATTAACTCAAAATGGATTAAAGACTTGAACATAAGACCTGAAACAATGAAACTCCTAGAAGAAAACACAGGCAGTAAGATCCCTGACATCAGTCTTGACAATGATTTTTTGGATTTGTCACTAAAAGCAAAGGCAATGAAAAAGTAGGACTACACCAAACTAAAAAGCTTCTGCATAGCCTGCATAGCAAAAGAAATCATCAACAAAATGATACAGGCAACCTGCTGAATGGGAGGTAATATTGTAAATCATATATTTCACATGAGATTAATATATATAAAGAACTCACAGAACTCAATAGCAAAAAGACAATCCAACTGAAAAATGGGCAGAGATTCTAAACAGACATTTTTCCAAAGAAGACATACATGGCCAACACAAACATGAAAAGATGCTCAATATCACTAATTTTCAGGGAAATACAAATCAAAAACCACAATGGGACATCAGCTCACACTTGTCAGAATGACTATCATCAAAAAGACAACAAATAACAAATGTTGGTGAGAAACATGGAGAAAAGGGGGCCCTGGGGCACCGTTGGTAGGAATGTAAACTGGTGCAGCCACTATGGAAAACACTATGGAGATTCCTCTATTACAAACACAACTACCATGCAGTCCAGCAATTCCATTTCTGTGTAAATAAAATAAAAACACTAACTCAAAACAATATATACACCCTCACTTTCATTGTAGCATTATGTATAAAAGCCAACACATGGAAACAACCTAAGTGTTCACCAATGGGTGAAGAGACAAAGAAAATACAATGCCATATTATTCAGCTACAAAAACCCCGGGCTCATAGGTACAGAGAACAGACTGATTACCAGAGGTGAGGCCTGGGGGTGGATGAAATGGATGAAGGGGATCAAAAGGTTCAAACTTCCAGTGAAACAGTCCTGGGGATCTAATGTACAGCATGGTGACTTAGTGAATAATACTGTATTGTATATTTGAAAGCTGCCAAGAGAACAGACCTCAAAAGTTCTCACCATATGGAAAAAAATTTATAACTATGTGTTGTGACAGATATTAATTAGACTCAACTGTGGTAATCATTATATACGATTTCAATATATACAAATATCAAATCATTATGTTGTATAACTGAAACTATATAATGTTATATGCCAATTATACCTCATATAAAAAAGTGTATGAGTAACACCAGATCACACCCATAGGGCGTGGAGTACGCTGACTGGGTCACCAGTAGTTATAGGTCTGGAATGATTCAGTCTGAGGTTGTTACACTTGTTCGGGCGACTCGAAGCAAGGGAGGAAGAAAACAGCTAGTTGCAACCCCAATGTGGGTTGAGTGCTGGCTCACAGTGGGCTGGACTCCACTCCTTCCACTGGCCCTGATCAGGGCACAGCTCATTCCTAAAGGACCAGGAGACCACTTCTCTAGGATGACTTGAAAGTTCCAAAAGTTGCCCCTCCCTTTATTACCAAAAGTATTTCCTTAGTTTCCTGTCAGGTGTTGAAAAATAGTATCAAATTGCATTCTTTAAATGAACAAAGGAGTCATGTTGCCTAGGATGTATCATGTCTGCAGATACTTATTTAGCAAAGTACTGAGGGACTGGGACACTGTAAGCCTCCCCAACCCAGAAAGATTCTAGGACCAATTTCAGCCTTTGGAGGAGGGAAATGAGATGCGCAGAGGGGTCCCCACATTACCCTTTAATGAACTCATATAACAGGAGTGTCATCTGTCTCTTACCAGCTCCACACACAAAGATCCTGTTCCCCAGGCTGACTCCAGCTCGCCGGCAGGCATGGATGCCCACAGACAGTGGCTCAATCAGGGCCCCTTCCTCAAAGGTGACATTTTCAGGAAGCCTGAGGAGTCATTCAACACACAATTAGTCCCCCTGGGTTAACAATAATGATAGCTATTTATGTGCTGGGCAATGTGCTAAGCAATTTACATATATTCAAATGTGTAAATCCTCACAATAGTTCTGTGGTAGATGCTATCATTCCCACTTTACAGATGAGGAAACCAAGCCTTGGAGGATTAAACGACTTGCTCCAAAGGTTGAAAACCAGTGAGTAGTGAGAGGCTCAAAGGTTTTGAATTAGAAGCCTGATATATCTGATTCCATATCACACTGCCCACCTCTGAAAATAGTTTCCTTTAGTGAAATCACTTCAGTGAATACATTATATATTCTTTAATATGCTATCCAAGGTAAGGTATGGCATGGCTGTCATTAATTAAGTGAAAAATTCATTTCATAAGGGGTCAACTTAACCATATTCCAGTATCTCATCTGCTTCTTAAATTCAGTGCCTTTCTGGTTTCATTTTAGCAAACAATCTTGACTATTAGAAGCTTTGCAAAACAGTGATTTAGAAGCTGACATCACTCTGTGCATTGTCCCTCATATTACACACCCCAGAAGAACCACATCTGATGGCAGCAGCTGCCTGGCTGTCACTGGACTGGTTAAGATGGGGAAAGGGCTTGTCTTCCACACGGCAGATTAAATGCTGTGTCACCTTCACCACTGGGTTCTTGGTTTTCACTTCCCTGTCCACTGGCATCTTGACCCTCTTAACGATCCCACTGATGATGACAGTAAACATTTGCACAAGGCTTTACAGATTAGACAGCTTTCTTCTCCATTATCTCATTTAATCCTTACCATGACCTTGTTAGGCAGGAAAGGCAGGCTTTATTTTTAACCTTTATTACACAGAAGCAAAACTGAAGCAGGATGACATTAAGAGACTTGCCCAAGGTTATAAGGCTCACAAGGGGAAAAGAAAATTTGAACCCAGAGCTCCTGATTCCACACCCTCTGCCTGTCCCATACCAGCTGCCTCTTGGTACAAGCAGTTCTGTAGTTAATGTCTAATTTCTGCTAGTTCCTCACTGTTCAGTATTTATTCAGTGTCCCCAAAACCTCCACATACAAGAACATGAAAATCCTCAAGTTCCAAGAAGAAATAAAGTGGCAGCCAAACCACATGCTCATGCCCCTGGTCCTTCTGTTCATGAGCTCCCACAGAATAAACAAGGCCCGCAGATGGCCTGGCTGCTACCCACCACCCCTTCTTTCTTCTCTCACATCATTTCCCCCACCCCAATCCGCTCTCCTGCCATGACTGCTGTCATCACCCCTTCTACCCACACAATCTACCCCATCAATTCTGTATAAGGGAAGAAAGTTTAAAGTGAAATGGTATAAAGACTCTCAAACTCTCTCAAGGATCCCCAACTACACTCTGACACTCCTGCCTCCTCACTTTTGGGCCTCCCCCAAAGCTTGTATTGGCACTAAACTGAGGGTGGCCTGTGGCTCCTCTCATCTTCACTCTCACTTCCCTTTGGAACCAAAACACCAAGAAGAAATGGAATTGGGGATGGTGATGAGAGAGGATTGTTACATGGGAGATTATTTCACTGATGAGGCAGATGCTGCCTTATTATACATGCAGCCATAGCCAGCCGCATGGGAGGGCAGCCTGGCATGGAGGCAGACACACCAGGCAGAGTCCTGGGGTCCAGTCCTTTTGCCACTTTCCTGGGGAGAGCTACTGGGTCCTCCTTCTTCAACCTTGCTCAGTGGGGGTTGAGTGAAAGGAGATGAGAGGACTCTAAGTTTCCTCCCGGCCCTATTCATTCCTGATTTCATAAACACCAGAAAATGACAAAGCAACTTGGTGGTTTTCACAATGGGAGTCAGGGAATAGGCAAAAGGGTTAAAGGGTGATCAAGAAGCCAAGGGGGAAGCAGGAAGATAGAAAGAAAATAGGTGGGAAGGAAAATAAAGAGGCTGTGGTAGTGTAGAAATCCTCACAAAGAGAAACAAGAGAGAAGGGCATGGATCCCAGGCTGGGCTGGGGACACAGGCATAAATTACTGTGGGAGGAGAGGAGAGGTGGAGGTTGAATGTCCCCTAGAGGCCCCCCACAGCCCTCTGTTTGCCATTGCCAAAGAGAACACCCCTCCTCCACCATCTATAAACCACCCTACCCTCTACTCCTCAGTGCAAAGCTCCCTTTCAGGCCTAACCTTGTACCATCCCCCAGACATAAGGTCACAGCTATGACATATCATGGCACTGTTTACTGAGCTCCTACTATGTGCCAGGCCTCTTGCTGAGCACTTGATATGCTCTTCCTAATGAATCCTGTCAATAATTCTATGTATTTCATCGTCTCAATGCTATTACCATCTCCATTTTACAGGCCAGGAGACAGGTTACAAAGTTTAAGTAATTTTCTCAAGGTCACATTGTTGATAAATAGCAGAGGCCAGTGGTTAGTCTCGAACTTTACCACTATGCTCTTCTGCCTTCCGTGAAAAACTTGTTTGACATCTTGACTTGGAAAAGGCCCAGAAAAGGTGGGCTCGTTCAGGAACCACTTGCTCAAAGGTGGACTCTATCCATGGAACATGCTTTCTCTGAGAACAGGTTCAGATGTTGACTTAAACTCATCATGAAGTCTCTGGCTTGTGACTCCTCTCAAAGCTTCCAGTAGGTACTAGAAAACTCAGATCTGTCAGACTGCCCTTGTGGCTGGGACCTGGCCTCCATCAGACAAGCCTCATCCTGGCCAAAAGAGCCACTGCTGGGGCCAGGCTAGGGTGGGAGGAAAACACACCTGGTCATGTCAGAAGGAAAGCAGCATACCAGTATCCCAGAGGTCCATGGGCCAGGGCCCGTGCAGAAGGTATAGCATGCTGCTTCTGCCAGACACAACTTCCTAAAACCACTTTGAGAGCTGGAGTAGGGTAGTGAACACAGGGCAGGAGCTTGAGAATCACAGCCACCCCAGCTTAACTCCTTGCTCTGTTCTGTGTCCAAGTCAATTAGCCTCCTCCTGCCTCTGTTAACTCTTGCACAAAACTGCAATAATGGTGCCCACCCCACCATTATTCTTATAAAGGTTAAATAAGATAAGGCATGCAAAGCACTTATTAGCACAAGACTAGGCACATAAGAATAATTGTGACTTTGCATGTATTGCCTTATTTAATCTCCAGGTGATTAAAAGAGACTGAAGCAGAGGAAGGTTAAGTCATTTTCTCAGAGTCATTCACTAGGAGAGAGTGGATCCAGGGCCCCAGAGCTCATGCCCTGGCTCCACGCCATACTGCCTCAGGAAACCCCAGTTTTTGCTGTCACTGTTTGTTGTTGTTGTCAAGGTTTTTACTGTTACAAGTTCTCCTTCCTGTGGCTTCAGTGGAAAACAATAATGGAGGACAACCACAATAAATTATCTCCAGGATGGCTACAGAAGGGTGAGAGAGTTCAGCAACAATTTTCTATTATTGCTCTAGGTGAGGGAAAGTTAGTCTGAAAGACTAAAACCAAGCACTGGAAGTCAATCTTAGCCCTAGTCCGGCTACCCTCTCTCAATGCCTCCAAGAAAGACAGGCTTGCCAAGGAGATGCCTCATGTCTGGAATAACGAGCTGAAAAGAATAAAGAAACCACCATAGGAAACAAGAAGAAAGAACACCAAACAAACACTGGGGAAGGTGGCACAGCCGGGCCATGGGCACTAACTTGTAGCAAAAGTTGGCATTGTGCTTGTAGAACCGACAGAGGTTCCCGTCATCAGGGGGCGTGGCACAGAAGAAGATGGTTGGCGACAGATTGTATCGGCCAATCTTGCAGAATTCATCAGGTTCTCGAGGAGCACCAGGCTCAATGGCAACACGGTCACCTGTAGAGAAAAACACGGGCAGGGGCAGAGATGCTGTGAAGGGATGCATGCTCATGGGCAGATGCCTGCATCTGCATCTGGCAGAATGAGTCACCCTACCCTCAGGGACCCAGAGAGCCCCAGGCAAGCCCAGACCATTAGTGCTTCCAGAAGAAAAGATGGGAAGCAGTGCGTGCTTAAATTCTGGAAGAAAATGACCAGCCCACTTCTCCACAAACTGGTTTGGCCTGCCTGCCCCCTTTCATAGTCTGATAGAACAAGCCAACCTGCCCTTCTAGCTCCACAGCTACCTCCCAGCTTGGGAACAGAACCAGTCTCATCTGTTAGGCAAGCCATGTTTAGTTCCCATCTCAAACTGCAGCAAAAGAAGTAGCTAGTGTGTGGAGTTTGCAGAGTCTTTTTCTTCACTTGTTTTGATAATATGGAGAAAGGCCTTTATAAACACAAGAGCCATGATGATGGCATGTCTTATGATCAGTTTGCTTAGACAATAACTAAGCATCGAGTGATTCCTGGTTAGCAGAACCACTAAGGCTAATGACTCACAGAGGTCTTAGACTCTGGTACAGGGAAGAGTAACACTCAGGCTTGTGAATAGCCAGCTCTATCATATTACTACTCTATGTCTCATTATGCCCCCTTGGAAACCCAGGCTTAGAATGGTTCTTCTATCTTCTTAGCATGAAAAATTTCAAACATACAGCAAAACTGAAAGAGCTGTACAGTGAACACCCAGATATCCTCCTCTACCTAGTTCCTTCAGTTAACATTTAGCTACATTCACTTTATCACGTATTCATCCATCCTATCTATCCTTCTCTCTTCCATTCATCAATCCATCTTCTCTTCTAGTGCATTTTAAAGTAGGTTGCAGACAGAGGTACATGTCAGTCTTAAATACTCCAGCCTGCCTATCACTAACTAGAGTTCAATACTTGTTCATGGTTCCCTTTTAAGGTAGTTGGACCATTAGATGAATTTTGATAAAGGCAATCACCTATGTAAAATCAGGTGAATTAAGACACAGAATATTAACACTACCTCAGAAACTTCATTCCTTCATGTCCCTTCCAGTCAATCCCCCTTCCCCCCGTCCCAGAGGGTGTACTAGCAGAGTTTGGGCCCACTTGTGCCTGATGAGTGTGTTAGGAGCCTGACAAGAATCTGTGAGAGGTCTGACCTTTACCAAGCAGAGACAAGTTAAGCTATTTTCGTAAGTCTTTTGTGTTAAAAGTACCCACAGGATAGTGTAGAGTCCTGGGATGTAGTCAGTGCACATTAAAAGCACTGGTAGTGACGGTGATTGTAGTAGTAGTAATATATAGCGGTATTAATAACTATTTTTATTTATTTATCATTATTATAATTAACTGAGCTGGTATCCTTGCAAAGGAAATTCAGACAATAAGATAAACAGGTAGGAGGGTGTGGCCAAGATGGTTGAGTAGAAACCCTGAGCTCATCTCCTCCCACAGGCACACAAAAATTACAACTATTTACAGAGCAGTTATCAATGAGAATGACCTGAAGACTAGCAGGAAAGATTTTCCACAAAGATTAAAGAAGAAATCACAAAGAGACAGATAGAAGGGGCAGAGACAGTATAGTCGAGACCCATACCTCTGAGTAGGTGACCCACAAACAGGAGGATAATCACAAATGCAGAGTTCTCCCCACAGAGCAAGGTCTAAGCCCACATTGGGCTCCCTATGCTGGGAAGACAAATCCCGACAGAACATCTGGCTTTGAAGGCCAATGGGACTTGTGTACAGGAGAGCCAGAGGGCTACTGCAAACAGAGTCCACTCTTAAAGGGGTTGAGACACAGCACAGAGGCAGTAATTTCAAAGGAGGCTGGGTCAGAATCACTTGCTAATCTTGGAGAGCCTCCCTGAGAGGCAAAAGGTAACAGGGACTCCTGGGAACACAGACACCGGTGGCAGCCATTTCTGGGGAGCTTCTGCCTTGAGAACACTGGTGCTAGCAAGTGCCATTTTACAGTTGTCCCTCTAGCCTATTAGTGCAAGGGACTAGCGTGCCCACCAATCACAGAACCAGTCCTGGGACCCCATGGGCTGCACAGCCAGCTGTGCCAGGACTCAGCCTCATCCACCAGTGGCTGGCAGCCTCAGCACAAAGTAGGGCATGGCTGCCAACTAGATCATGGACGAGACCAAGTCACAGTAGCCCATCATAACAGAAGTCCCCATGCAGCCCATATAGGTGGCACCCCTGGAGCATATAGCTCTGGTGACCAGAGGGAGTATGCTGCTGGTCCCATAGGAAGTCTCCTACATAAGACCATTTCTCCAAGATTGGGAAATGAAACTGAACTACCAAATAGAGCTGGAATACAATAACTAAAATAAAAAATACACTAGAAGGAATCAACAGTTTAGATGATACAGAGGAACCGATCAGTAAATTGGAAGCCAGAAGTGGAAGAAAAAGAATTTTTTAAAATGACGATAGTTTAAGAGATCTCTGGGACAACATCAAGTATACTAGCATTCACATTATAAATGTCCCAGAAGGAGACATGGGAGAGAAAGGGGCAGATAACTTATTTGAACAAATGATAGCTGAAAACTTCCCTAACCTGGCATAGGAAACAGACATATAGGTACAAAAAGCATGGAGTCATAAACAAGATCAACCCAAAGAGATACACATCAAGACACGTTAGCAAAAATTAAAGATAAAGAGAGAATCATAAAAAAAGCAGAAGGGAAAAGCAACTAGTGATATGCAAGGGAGCTCCCATAAGACTGTCAGCTGAGTTTTCAGCAAAAACTTTGCAGGCTAGAAGGGAGTGGCATGATATATTCAACGTGATAAAAGGAAAAAAACCTACAACCGAGAAAAAAGAATACTCTATCTGGCAAGACTATCATTTAGATTTGAAGAAGAGATCAAGACTTTTGCAAACAAGCAAAAGCAAAAAGAGTTCAGCACTAGTAAACTGGCTTTATAAGAAATGTTAAAGGGACTTCTGTAAGTGGAAAACAACCACAACTAGGAATATGAAAATTATGAAAGGAAAAATCTCATTGGTAAAGGCAAATACACAGCAAAAATAGTAGATCAATCACTTATAAGTTAAAATATGAAAGTAGTAAAATCATCTATATCCATAATGAGAAGTTGAGGGTTACATAAAAATATGTAAAATATGATGTCAAAAACATTAAGCATTGGGCTGGGGGAATAAAAATGTAGGATTGTTAAAATGCATTCAAACTTAAGAGATCAGTGACAAAAAATGATTTTATACGCAAACACACACACACCCCTCATGGTAACTGCAAACTAAAAATCTATAACAGATAAACACACAAAGAAGAGAATCTAAACATAACACTAAAGATAGTCATCAAATCATAAAAGAGAGGAAAAAAAAGAACAACAACAAAAAAGAACCAACAACAAAAAAACAATGAACAGAATGGCAATAAACACACACCTATCAATAATTAATTGTGATTAAAGTAATTATTGGATATTGGACTAAATGTTCCAATCAAAAAACAATTTGGTTGAATGGATTAAAAATAAATAAGACCCATATATATGCTACCTACAAGTGAATCACTTCAGATATAAGGTAAGGATTCACACAGACTGAAAGTAAATGAAAAAAGGTATTCCATAAAGATGGAAATAAAAAGAAAGCTGGAGTAGCAATACATATATCACAAAAAATAGACTTTAAAACAAAGACCATAATAGGAGACAAAGAAGGACATTACATAATTATTAGGTATCAATCCAAAAAGATATAACAATTATGGTTGTGTTTTTTTTGCATGTGTGCACATACACATGTACCCAACAGAGGAGCACCTAAATATACAAAGCAAATATTAACAAACATAATGAGAGAAATTGACAATAACACAATCATAGTAGGGGGCTCTAACACCCTACTTACATCAATGGACAGATCATCCAGACAGAAAATCAATAAGGAAACCCTGGCCTTAAAAGACACATTAGACCAAATGGACTTAATAGACACACAGATCAGTCCAACCAAAAGTACCACAATACACATTCTTTTCAACCGCATACAGAACATTTTCCTGGATAGCTCACATACTAGGCCACAAAACAAGTCTCAATAAATTTAAGATTGAAATCTTTCTTGACTATGTGGTATGAGATTAAAAATCAACTAAGAAAAAACAAAAACTACAAAAACAAATACATGGAGGCTTAATAGTATGCTACTAAACAGCAAATAGGTCACTGAAGAAATCAAACAGGAAATCAAAAAATATCCGAGACAAACGAAAATGAAAACACAACAAACCAAGACCTAGGAGACACAGCAAAAGTAGTTTTAAAAGAAAAGGTTATAGCAATAGAAGTCTCCCTCAGGAAACAAGAAAATCTCAAACACCCTAACCTTACACTTAAAGGAACTAGAAAAAGAACAAATAATACTCAAAGTTAGAAGGAAAGAAATAATAAAAATCAGAGAAAACATAAAAGAAATAGAAACTATAAAAACAATAAAAAAGATCAATGAATCTAAGAAATGGTTCTTTTAAAATGTAACCAAATTAATAAACTTCTAAGCAGACTCATCAAGAAAAAACAGAGAGGACCCAAATAAAATCAGAAATGAAAGAGGGGAAGTTACAACCAACACTACAGGAATACAAAGGATCATAAGACATTACTACAAACAATTATATGCTAATAAAATGGACAGCTTGGAATAAATAAATATGTTCCTAGCAAAGTACAGTCTCTCAAGACTGAATCAGGAAGAAATAGAAAATATGAACAGACCGGTAAGGAAATCTGTAATAAAAACTCACAACAAACAAAAGTCCAGAATGAAACAGTGTCACTGGTTAATTTTACCAAACATTTAAGGAAGAGTTAACACCTGTCCTCAAACTATTCTAAAAAACTGCAGGTTAAGGAATACTTCCAAACATATTCTACAAGGCCACCATCACCCTGATACCAAAACCAGACAAATACACCACACACACACACACACACACACACAGAGAGAGAGAGAGAGAGAAAATTACAGGTTAATATTACTAACGAACATAGATGCAAAAATCCTCAACAAAATATCAGCAAACCAAATTCAATAATAAAAGATCATACACAATGATCAAGTGGGATTTATTCCAAGGTTGTAAGGATGGTTGGATATCAGAAAAAAATGTAATACACTACATTAACAAATTAAAGAAAAAATAATTATCTCAAGAAGCATAAAAGGCTTTTCAAAAAATTCAACATCCATTTGATAAAAACTCTGAAAAAAGTGGGTGTAGATGGAACATAGCTCAACATTATAAAGGCCATATATGACAAGCCCACAGCTAACATCTTATTACTCAACTGTGAAAAACTAAAAGTTTTTCCTGTTAAATCAGGGATCGATAAGAATGCCTACTCTTGCCATTTTTATTCAACATAGTATTGGAAGTCCTAGCCACACAACTAAAGAAAAAGAAAAGGAACCCAAGTTGGAAAGAAGTAGTAAAATTATTACTGTTTGCAAATGACATGATACAAAGAAAATTCTAAAGAAGCCACCAAAAAACTACTAGAACTCAATGAATTTTGTAAAATTGCAGGATTCAAAACTAATATACAGAAATCTGCTACATTTCTATACACTAACAATGAACTGTCAGAAAGAGATTAAGAAGATAATCCCATTTAGCATTGAATCAAAAGGAATAAAACACTACTGTGTGTTGAATGGATAAACAAATCTATTAGCTGAAGGGCTTTGCTGACCTGGTTGTAGGTGCTTGACCAATGATCCCACTTTTACGACTGTTCCTGAAGCTTCATGTCCCAGCACCATTGGCTTTTTCACAACAAAATGTCCAATTCGACCATGCTGCCAGTAGTGGACATCTGAGCCACAGATTCCAACAGAATGCATCTTCAGCAGCACCTCTGATAAAAGAAAAAGGGAAAAGAAAAAAAGTGAGGGAAGGAACAACCCCTCTACCCTCTGAGACACCCTGGCATTTTTCTTCTGGGTAAAGGAGAGGGCTTGGTTTCAAAGACCAAGTACAAAATTTAGATCACAGAGGAAAACAAGCTAAACAGTAACCATGATTAAGTCTTGCAAGGCAAGAAAACTTCTACAGGGAAAAATAACTGCATATGAGGGTTAGGTTTGGCTATGGTGCTCAGTTGATTTGTCAAATACTACAATGTTGCTGTGAAGGTATTTTTTAAATGTGATTAACATTTAAGCACCTCCATGTTCACTACAGCATTATTTACGGTAGTCAAGATATGGAAACAATCTAACAATCCATTGATGGATAAATGGACAAAGGAAATGTGATTATACACACACACACGCACACACATATACATGCCATAGAATATTACTCAGCTGTAAAAAGGAAATCCTGCCATTTGCAACAACATGGATGGACCTTGAGGGCATTATGCTAAGTGAAATAAGTCAGACAGAGAAAGACAAATACCATATGATCTCACTTGTATGTGTAATCTAAAACCAAAACACAAAACAAAACCCTAGCAAGCTCATAGATACAGAGAATGGATTGGTGGTTGTCAGAGGCAGGGAGTAGAGAGTGAGTGGAGTATAATGGGTGAAGGGGGTTAAAGGGTACAAACTTCCAGTTATAAAATAAGTCTTGGGGATGGAATGTACAGCATGGTGACTATAGACAACTAGACTTATTGTGGTGATCACCTCACAATATATACAAATGTCAAAGCATTATGTTGTAAACCTAAAGCTAATACAGTGTCATATGTCAACTGTACCTCAATAAAACAAACATTTAAACTAGTAGAATGAGTAAAGCAGATTACCCTCTCCACAAGTGGATAAGCCTCATCCAGTCAGTTGAAGGCCTTAAAAGAGAAGTCTTAGGTTTCCTGAAGGAGAGGGAATTGTCTTCAAGACTGACTTACATGAATTTTCAGCCTGCTGGTTAGCCCTACAAATTTCAGACTAACCAGCACCCACAATCACATGAATCAATTCCCTAAAATAACCTCACCTTCTCTCTATATACATATATAATAAATTTACATATAATTAAACATAAATAATAAACCTCTCTCTCAGTTCTGTTTCTCTGGAGAAATCTGACTAACATAACGCATAAGTAAGACATTATTAGTAGGAAGAAGTGCATCAACCACCTAAAAGAAAAAAACTCTTCTAGGAGATAACTATTTCCAGACAATATGCTATGCCTGATTCTTATCTATTCATTAGAGAGGCTGGCACAATCTGGGACTGGCAATACTTTGTGTGCTGTCAGGCTGAGTTCTTCATACCCATTGTTTTGTTCAAAAGCACAGATTTAATTTAAACCATCAAAAGATTTTAACCGGCATTTCTCCTTCACAGGTTTGAATATAGAGAGATTTGGTGGTATTGTTGTTGTCAGTTTTCCAAGTTCAAAATAATGATGCTACTGAGCCCCTTTGCTGAAATAAGTCTTAAAGGATTACTAGTCTAGTCTGACTGAGTTCACCATGTTACCAATATCTTGCTGAGAAAAAAACTCTACCTTAGAAAGACAAAGAGACCCAAAGCTCTGCTCTGTACTCAGCTGTCTTACATACTCTGCCCTTGCCACAAACCATGGGTGACCCACCAGGAGTGGCTCTGTAGAACTTCCTTTGTTTTGGTGAACAGAGTAAGAAATGGCAGGGTGAATTTTGAAATCAAAGTCATTTGAGTTAGGAAAATTATCTCAGAGTTTCCTCTCTCAAAGTTACCAATTTATAATAAGAGATTATATTTGACTTGCTAGAACTCTAGTTGAAATTTACCATCGTTTCCCCTTCCAATTCACCGGCAGCAAGAGACAAGAAAGTGAGAACAGAATGCTGCTTCAGAGAAAGAAATAGTACAGGATCCTCTGGGTCCAAAACAGCACCCCCTCACGTTTTTTCCACCTCTGGAATCCATACCAAGTTTTCAGAACATAGTGAGGTGCCTCTTTTACTTCTCTGAACATATCTTGGTAAAAACACTTAATCCCTAAATATATATTACTTGCTAAACACTGATAGAAACAGCTATTGTCTATATTCTTATCACCATAAATTAGTAACCCAACTGACCTTTGAGTAGCAAAGCTCTTGAGGTTCCAGGAAAGCTACTTTCAACCTGATGTTCACACAGAATTTACAGTTCTGCGGTTAGGTGGGGCAAGGTGGGGAAGCATACATCCAACTCATCAAGGACAGAAAGCTGGGTGTGGATAAATTACCTATTGACACTCTGCCCCTTGCCCTAGTCTCACTTCAGGGTCCTGCTGTGGGATTCCAGAGATGGAAGGATTGGAACAGTGTCAGCTGGGATCTGACACAGCCAACAGGGTAGCATGACCTCCCCAGATACAGACACCACCCCAGGAAACATGCATGTCAGTTCAACTCGGCCATAAGGGGTGGAACAAAGGTGGCAGGAACCCCGCCCCTGTGTGCTCACCCACTCTCTGCTTCTGGTTGATTAGGACAGCAGGGTAGGGCCCCATGCAGCCCCTCTCACCCCTACTAGATTGAAGGTCTGGTCATCCTGGAGTGATGTTCCCCCTTTGCAACTAAAAGATTAAGATCTATAGACTTACTCCTTTTCAAAGGTTAGTTAGGGTTAGGACATGATTTAACCACCCAAATAGCAGCTTATACAGGATAGAGTAACCTAACCCAGCCATTAGGTTAAAAGAGGAACAATTCTGCTTTTGGTCCATAAATTGAAGACATTTTATGTCAAAAACTCTTTGGGACAAGTCAGTAGTCTGATATTATCACTCCTCTGGTTCCATCACTGTTTCTTTTATTTCATGTAGCAGCCAGGTTGGATCTATCTGGTCATGCTGTAGACAATGGACTAGGTTAAAAACCTAACAAAAGCATAGTTTTTAATGGAAGTAAAAGTAATAAACAGTAGGAAAAGAGGGCTAAGGGAGCAATGTACAATAAAATATTAAGTTCCAAGTACCTACCATTTGGGCCTGGTTCAGGGATAGGATAGTTCTCCTAAAGGAAACAAAATAGAAAAATTATTCAGTATGCATAATAACTTTACCTTATCAACATTCTGAATTTTTTTTTAAATTAAAGCTTCATTCAAATATTTCTTAGAATTAACACAGGCTGAGACTCAAGGGGCTACAATGAATACTGCTGACTCTAACTACAGACCTCATCCCACCCACCAGTGCAATTTACTGTGGACCTAGAAAAAGTATACTACATGCACCCTCAGGCAGAAAGGATTTCTCAGGGTCTCTGATATGGAATGTGGAAAACATATTCTTAGAAACAGATTTGTTTGGTACAAGGAAACGATGACAGTGTTTCTAGCAGTTGCATATGAGACTTTCCGTCTCTAAACAGGTTGGAGAAAGTGTGCGTGCTTCATTTTCACATCTGCACACAGACCAATAGTTGGTACTGTCTTCCAAAACCTCCCATGTGGAGCTTTAGAGGTCCCTTGGGAGCACACAGGACCTGCATTTTGGCCACTCTCATGGGTTAAAAAGCAATCTGGTGTTCACAGCTATTTATAATGACAATGATGATGATGATGATGATGATGATTGGTGGGTTTTTTTCCCCAATGCCAACTGGCTAGGAAATTCCTGGTGACAAAGAGGAAGGACAGAGAGCAGATAAATCCAAATGTTCATTTTATTAATTCTGTGAAGGCAGCCAAGAAGAGGGAGAAGGTATATAAAGTGTTCACTGCACCTACTGTGTGCCAGACAGTCTACTGGGGCTTTACATTTACACACATCATGGCACGTGGCCCATCATTTGCAGGTGAGAACCTGAGGCTGGGAAGGTAAATAACTTGGTCAAGGTCATATGGCCACAGACTGGATAAACGAGGGCTAAACCCAGGTGTGTCTTGACAATCAAGCCTGCCTTGCTGAATCCCACTGCACCTTAAAGTGGAAATGCCTTTTTTCCCTTCAGGGATGATGTACAGAGCAATCAGGTTACGAGAATGTTGGAGCTGGGCCCCACGCAGAGTACTATGGGAGGAAGCATTGCTCAAAGCAACCTCCTCAGAAAGCTTCCCCTAGATGCTTGTACAGGTAGCAATAAACACCACTAGGATTATTTAGCTAACAAGATAAGAACCCCCATGGCAAAAACCATGCCTTCAATCTCTTGGGCACCAAGGTACAGTGCCTTGAGGAGCTTGTACTTGTTAAGTAACCACTCCCCATAATTGTACTTCCACAGAAAGTCTGAGGCTCTTGCTCATCTCGCTCATCTGAGATTACTAGCCCTTTCTGTGTAGCAGCTCAAGGCTAATTTGAACTCCCTGTCTTCAGTGAAACAAAGGTCAAAGGGATAAGGCAATGCCGATTAGCTAATATCAGCTTCTTGTCAGGTCCTGTGCTAAATGCTGTCCTTACATAAACTTGGTTCATTGTCACCCTATGTAGTGCCTTCTAATATCCCATTTTTCCATATGATGAGACAGGAATGGGGAGATTTAGCAATCTGCCCATGGTAACACTAAGGTAATAAATGATGGAGCTGCACCCAAAGCAGCATGATGTGGAGAAAAGAGGCTCAGGGCAGCTTTTTTGTCTCTTAATAACTTAAACTGGCTACATTTGGGAGGAAGAGAGGAATGAAAGAAAGGAGGGAGGGAGGGAGCGAATCCATCTAGAAATGGGCAACTCAGGATAGCTGGCTGTCACCAAAACCCTTCTCAAAGTTGCTGGTCCCACATCTGCCATTACACAATATCAAGGACTACTGTGTAAAGTTTCGTTTCTGTTATACTGTGTGGAATTTAAAATTGCAGGTTAAATCGAAACTAAAGACTAAGTAAGGCCTTTATTTCAAACATGGAGCAGCACTCTCCCCCACCTCCTGCCTGCTAAAGGCACTGGTAGGCAACTTCCAGGCACTGAGAGAAAATTCCACAGCATACTTTTCATATCCTTGGCTCCAATCAGGCCAGGTCTGAACGGCCCATTTAGGGTGGAAAGGTGTTAAGATTCAAACTCAAAGCAACAGTTGGAGACAACAAGTTGGCTCTGGGTCACTAGACATTACTACTATAAATGTTTACTGGTCTTAACAGAGCTGATCAACTTTGGCCTTACCACCTGGGCAAAGCCGCAGTGTCTCTCTTTGACACTAGGGGGTGCTGTGCCAACAATCTGGTTTTTCCTTTGTATCAGAACACACAAAGGACTTAAATACCACGCTCCCTGAAAACCAACTTTCCTTTCCCATTCTCTTTCTTGCTGATTCTAATCACCCTTACAGCCCAGCTTGGCTCCTGTCTCCCTTCTCTGCAGGAGACATGCCACCTAAGCACAAGACCATGTTAACATCAGTCCTTAAATATTAAGTAAATATTATTCTAAGCGCAGGTTGAGGAGCTCACAATGTTTTAGAAAGTGATTACAGCATGGTTACTTAAAAAACCTTTGCTTTTCATTTGTGGCTCCTTGGTATATGTTGGCTACAATCCTGTTTACTTAATCTCCTTTTCTGTCTCAGATTTCAGCAGTCATATTCTTTCATTTATACTATTTCTCATGTATCAAAATTTCTTAGTCCTCTGAGATCTCCATCTTTTGCTTTTATCCTCATGGCCCCTTTCTTCATTCTCAAAGGTTTTGAAATCAGGCATATTCAAGGTTTCCAGTGCAGAATTTCTTATCTTTCTGTGAGTGATAGTAATAAGGGGATAAAGAGAAGTTGAGTAATTGTTCTTTACTGTAGTTATGTAAGTTTTGCAGCATTTTTCACTTCAAGTCAGTCTCCCTTCTGTCTTCTTCAGGTCTTCTCCCCACCACCCCAAATAAATCACAGTAATACTTTGGAAGACCTCTCCATGGGAACATGGAATCATCTCAGGTGCCTCCCTCTAAAAATGTTATCTTACTTTTCCTAAATATATTTTCTTAAACTAGTTTAAATAGGTATTTCCTAAATATATTCTATTGCCCCCCTTTCCGCTACCTCCACCTGCACATCTGAGTTTACACCCTCAGTACGTCTTGCCTGGATCACAGCCAATGGACTCAACGTGAAGAGAAATTAGAAGATGCCTTTCCCTCCTCCAGCCAATCTGAGTGGTGCAGTGGTGGAGAACTCAGACTTTGGAATCGCCTGTCCGTGTTGAAACCCAGGGTCCTCGCCAGGACCTGTGTGACCTCAGGGCAGTTACATAACCTCTTTGTGCCTTCAATTTCCTCCTCTATGTAAGGAAGATAATCATAAAAGAGAGTGCCCGACTCATAGTAAACAAGTTAGCTCTCATTACAAAATAAATAAAGTCAAAGTTCTTTCTGTATAATTAGCTCAGAGTATGGTTGAACCAGCTCAGGACAATCTTGTCCTTTTCCTTTTGAAAAGGATAAAGTTTTAAAAAGTTGTTTGGGAGAGAAGTTGTATTTCCCTTGTTTTCATGTCAATATCAAGAGAACAAAACTGCTCCTTTAAAGACTGGAATTTAGAAGAAAGCTGAAGTAAGATTCCAGCAGTGTTTTTCGGCTTGATTCTGTCAGTTGAGGGAAAGGGTGTAAAAGCAGTGCGACCTGCCTTAGAGTAAGGGACAGCAGACAGGGCTGGGAGAAAGTGGCCAGTCTTTTCCCAAGCCCTTGGAGCCCACCTTTGCCACCTGCTCTGCCTGCCAGGTCTTCTGTTAACCTGCTGGCTGGCTGCCCTGTACCCTCAAGGAGAGCAGAGCAGGCAATCCTACTTTTGCTTCCCTCCATCCTCAATTTTCCCCAATCCCGTGAGGGCTTGAAGGGTGTTTTGAGGGTGGGAGGACAATCCAAAGGTTTCCCATTTCACTAAGAGACTTTGTTCTAGCTGCGTTGGTCCTGCAAACTGGGGTCAAAGTAGAAGAACTGGACACTCTCCCAAGGTTCACTGAGCTGGTCTCCAGCCTCCAGCCCAGGCTCTCTGGTTCCAACCAGCCACCTTCTGCTGATAACAACCCTTCTAAAATGCAAACTCATTTAAAGTGCCCAGTGGCCCTGCAAAAAATCCTAAACCCCTCATGTTGCAGGCTGCCTGCCTCCCTGCAAGCTTCCTGCAATTCCCAAACCACCTTGTACTCACTCGCTCACCTCCTGGGGCCATTTCTCCACTGGCCCATCCCTCTCTTTCTTCAAGATCCATAGGAGGTGGGAAGTTAGGGGGAGACATCTGCAATGATTTCCTAATTCCTGTGGGAATTTGAGGAGATTTAGGTTTGGGTCTGTGGGGACTGCAGTATCTGCGGCATCCAGGTGGGGCTGTTAAATAGGCAACAGTACTCCTGGGACTGGTGCTCAGATGTGGGTCAGGGACAGACTCATGAACATGAACCATGAACATAGAGAGAAACAGTTAACTCCAGCAAAAGTCTTCCCTATCCTCACCAACCTTCCTCTCCTTTGTGCTTCCCTAGCACCTAGAATTGAATCCATATAGGATGGTTACAGTCTTATTTAATTCTCAGCTGTGATAAATAAAGTTAAAAAAATTTCCTAATTCAGAGTGTACTAATAAATATAACTATACATGAACCTGTTAGATGGTTTTTTATTTTAAGTAAAAATATGGAAACTGAGCTTGGTTAGATGCTTGGTTGGATTGATTAAGTGCTCACTGGGTTCAGGTCTATGTAACAGAACATTAACATTTAAAAAAAAATATTGAGCTGAATATCACTTCACAAAACCTGACCATATTTTTCCCCAGTAATTAATATTCTTTGGGTAAATGTGGTTTGGGGAAAACTGCCAGCTTTAACAGCCACACTAAAAGATTTATCAGGTGGACGTCAATACTGTATATATGGGTATGTATTTCTCCTCCTTAATTTCTCTGTCATGCACTTTTAAAAGAAATTTCCCCTACACTCATCCATAATTCTAGGTTTTTTCCCCAGAACAAAGTCACTTTTACCATGTTTATTAATAGTACTAGGACTTAGTACATAAAATGTTAAAAGCCTATTTGTGATATTGTTTACTGCTTCTCCTGCTTTTAGGGGAAAATGTTAGCTT